CTCTCCAAGGGGCTGCTGAGTGAACGGCCGCCCAGCGGAGGCCGAGGTGGGGGTCAGTGTCAGCGCCTGCGCCTGAGTCACTTCCTGGCCGTTGCCTAAGAGGCTCCAGCCGCAGCCCAGTGGCCGCTGTGCCCTCGCAGGATTGCACCCACTTGGGCAATGAGCACTTCCCTGGTATTCCTCAGCTTCTGGGGTGGCCTCTGCCACTCAGGTTTGCAAGACCCAGCAGCGAGGCTCAGGCCCGTCCCCACCCTGGAGACCCGGATCCTCAGCCCAGAAGGAAACCACGCTCCGGACAGTTCTCTCCTGTCTGCGCCTGTCTGTTCCAAGCTGAGAATTGGGGTTCCTTCCTCCCCAAAGATCTGAGCCTCTCCCGTCCTCCCAGGCACCCAACACCTTCCCTTTTCCTCCCACAGGGTCTCAGGGCCAGAATCAGGGGTGAGACGGGGACGGGGTGGGGAATGTCAGACACCAGGACAGCACGTGCTGAGGGAGACATGCCTGTTTGGGCAGCAGAGGTGTCCCCATGATGTGCGAGGGCAGATTACTTCAGACACCGGCCACTTCCTTCGAGGGGCAAGGCCTCTCAACCCAGAGGCACAGCACAGCCCCGGGGCCCAGAGCCTGGATGCTAAAGCTGGGATGTGCCAGCTTAGTCAACCAGCTGTGTGACCTTCAGCAAGTTACTTAACCTCTCTGTTCATCAGGTTCCTCACCTGTAAAATGAGGATAACAATAGTACTGACTCACAGGCCTCTCACCAGGATGGAGGGAGTTGTGTATGTAAAACACTTAGGATGATGACTGGCAAATGGCAAACACTAGTGTTCATTACATAAATATTTTTTAACTTCTAATGGGCTGACTCTTCCATTCATTCTCCATGTTTTTTTTTATATCTGACTGTGTGCCAGATATAAACAAGACGGATTCCCTGCCTGCACTGCCTGTTGGGTATTTCTGTGGGATCCCTGCGCCCCTCCCCCACCATGGTCTTCTGGACTGTGGTGCTGTGGGGCTCCGTGGGCGTGGCTGTGGCACCAGGTGTGTGTGAGGCCTCCTTAGAGAGGCCCCAGCTTACTGAAGGCCAAGGGCAGGTCCCTTTCCTCCCTTGAGCCACCTTCTCTCGATTTGACAAAGTGGTCCCCACCCCTTCCTCAGCCCCATTTCCAGGCCGGCCAGGGTTTGGACAAGTCAGGCTGGGCATCCGGACTTCTTATAGCCATTCTCTGCCCCCTCCCCTGTTCCTGGGAGGCTCTGTGATTCTTTTTTAAATATACTTTTATTTATTTAAGAGAGGAAGGGAGGGGGAGGGTGAGAAAGAGAGAAGCATCAGTGATGAGAGAGAATCACTAATCGGCTGCTTCCTGCATGCCCCATACTGGGGATCAAGCCTGAAACCCAGGCACGTGCCCTGACAGGGAATGGAACTGTGACCTCCTGGTTCATAGGTTGATGTTCAACCACTGAGCCCCGCCGGCTGGGTAGGCCTCTGTGATTTAATTTGAGCACAGAATTCTCTCCATGCTGCACAAGCCACCAGACACAGGTGGCGGAGGCCCTGGGCCATTAGGAGGCTCGCAAAAACTGTTCAAAACAACATTTCAACCTGGACCGGATAGCTGCTGATCATAGAATTTCTGTTATTCATTTTAGGTGTAAAAGTGATCTTGTGGTATGTTTTTAAAATAATCCTTATCTTTTAGAGATACAAAAATATTTATGGCTGAAATGATGACACCTGATTTTGTTTCAAAATAATGAGGGAGGAGGGATGTAGATGGAGTGAAAGTGACAAGGAGTCAATGTAGTTGTTGCAGCTGAGGATTTGGGTCAGGGACCCTCCCATCGGTGTGGCCCAGAGACCCCCTGAGCCTGGTGCCGGTTAGAAATGCAGAATCTTGGCCCCGCCCAGACCGCCTGAGCCAGAAACTGTCTTTTATTAAATAAAATTCCCAGGGGATTCGTATTCACAGTCCAGTGTGAGAAGCACTGGGCTATTTAGCCTATTTTTGTATGTTTGAAACATTCCATCATCAGAAGATTCTGGGGTTTGGTTTGGTTTTTCCAAAACTGTCTTCAGTGTCACCGGCCGATCTTCCCGCAGAGTCCGGGCTGCAGAGAGCTGGGGGGCCCGGTCTGCCCGCCGGGGTGCGACGCGGGACCCCTGGTCCAGGAGGCCAGCGCTGCCTGGCACCGCCGG